AGATATACAGATATACAGATATACAGATATATAGCTATTTAGAGATATAGAGATATAGAGATATAGAGATATAGATATATATATATATATAAGTATATAACTGTAGTATGGCAGGGCTTTTAAGTCAAAGGTCCGGGTTCATGGTTTAGGTCTTCAGGGTTTGGGGCTGTAGGGCTTTGGGTGCTACCTGCATGAAGAGTTCGGGGCAGTCCGGAACCGGGCTTCGACATTTTCAGAATTTCGTGGTTGTGATCGCTGAAGTACCCTCAAAAACAGCTGGAAATGCCAGCATCATGCGATTGTAACCTCTACTTGTCGAGCATGACTGATATCATTACTATCCTTGCTGCATCTGTATCGCTCACTCGTAGCTGTGTCGCTTCTGCATATTCCAACCCTTACGTTTCCAAGAACCCCATTAGTCCTGCTATTGCGATTGTTCTTTTGCTTATGTGCATTTTCCGCATGCACCATTACTACAGTGCATGAAACTGCTAGTCCTCTTCCAACTGCTACGACTACGAATATATTTACTAATCGTCACAGTGATTCACCAGCACCACCACCGCTACTACCACTAGTACCAAAAACTAGCTCTCCTTTTCGACTCAATTCGAAAGCCTCCATTAACATATCTTTGCGAGTTGCTGATGAAAGAGAGCTTGAGGCAAATCTCCTCGGCTATGCGCAGTGTCCGGAAGAACTCGGTCATGGAGTTTACCTGGCTCGGCGAGGGCGAGGGGGGGCCCTGGGGCTTCAGGTTCTAGGTTCTGAGAGTGCAGAGCTGCAGGGGTTTCAGCCCTCCGCCCCCGGCAAATAATAATAATAAGGCGGCATCAGAAAATGGGATTTGTAGAATCTAACACAAGATAACACCAACATAATGCAACATACAATATAATGCAATATAGATTACCATATCACACAACAATTACAATACAACACTACTTCACGCGCCAAGACCCAGATGCAACATAGGCGCCTAGAAGATGTCAAGCCTGCCTGGGGCTTGCCACAACCATGCCATAGTTCAGAAGGGATCAGACTGCAAATTGCAATCTGGAGCCTCCGGAAACCCTCAGCCCTGGCCCTAATTCTGAACAGAGGAACTCCAATGCAGACCCTAGGACCTAGGTAGCAGACAAACTCCTTTCCAACCCCAAGTCCTCACGAAGCTCCGCCTTCTATAGTTTCTTTAGATAGGGACTAGATTGACTAGAAGACACCTTTCTTGCGTCTGCTTCCAACCCCTCTATTTAGGTTTAGTTCAACCCTGTATTTACTTTAGGGATTTAGGGGTTTTAGGGTTTAGGGGTTTGGGGGTTATTAGGGCTCACTCGCCACGTGCCGCCTTTTCCGGCAAAGCCAGGAGGTCGATGGGAAGCTGGTCAGCCACCCCCTTCGGCTTGCCGGGAAAGACCTTGTCTCACCGGACTGTTGGTGTCGAACGCTGTAGTGGGTGTAGGGTTTAGGGCTTCCGGGTGTTCAGGATACCGGGCTTTTGGATTTTAGGGCTCAGGGGTCAGGGTGAAGCAAGCTTAATTAGACTAGCTACGATGCTCTTTCATGCTATGGATATGTTGGGGATCGCTGAGAAATAGCATTGCGCAGTACTCCGGAATGTAGTACTGTGATCCTACCGGACCGCGGGTTGATAGTTGCAGGCTTCGGGTGTTCAAAGGGCCTTGTGGGCTTTAGTTTGGGCTTTAGTTTGGAGTTGCATGAGAATCTTACAGAGCTGTATACTATAAGACTATAAGTCCTAACGCCAAACCCTGAGAATGAGCCCTAGGTCCAAGCCCCGAAACGTCTAACCCCAAATCCGTGAAACCCTCCAACACCTAGGGTTTAGGGTTTAGGGTTCACCTTAAACCCAAATCCCAAACCCGAATCTCCGAAACCCTCAACCCTGCAGCAAGGTTGACTCCCTGGCCTCTTGCCGGAGCAGACGGTCGAAGAAGGGGAAGATCGCACTTTGGCTGACTTTCTCCTCCCGGGACAGAGGCTGCAGGGTTTCGGATTTGGGGGTTGGGTGACGTTAAGGGTCCTGTCGTAGGAGGGCTGAGGCTCAGAATCAGACGAAATTGCCACGTCACTGTCATCCATATACCCTAAACCCGAAACCCTAAACCCCTAAACCCTGGACGGACCATGATCGAGACCGGCGCCCAGCTGAAGCCCCTTAACGCGGGTCCTCCCCGGTGTCCAGGTCCAGGTAGGAAGAGAACTCACCGCTGCCATCCTGGCCCTCATAGGTCCGCGGCTTCTGCGAGCAGAGGACCTGGGAGGATCGGGCTTTCGGACTTGGTTGGGCTTAGGGTTTAGGGGTTTAGGGTTTAGGGGTTTAGAGGTTTAGGGTTGAGGGGTTTAGGGTTTAGGGTTTAGGGGTTTAGGGTTTAGGGTTTAAGGTTTGATTGAAAGCTTGAGTTTCGACTTTGCTGTCCAGGGCAGGGGGCTTGAGAGTTTAAGGTTGCAGCGGGGTCTTGAGTTGAAGCCTGCGAGTGTAAGGCCATATCCTTCAACATTCAGAGCTCGCTACAAACGGGCCATCACTTTGTTCGCCAAGGGTGAAAGTTTCGTAACTTGCCGGATCGACCGAAGTCAATGGCACGGAAGCTTGTCTCCTTGTAAGACTGTGGAAGCAACAAAAGAGCCCCAAACCTTAGACTGCCTAAGCCTCACATCCTACACACCCGCACATTGCAAGCCCTTCAAGGAACCCGTATAGCACCGGTGGAAGAGCCCCGCAACCTCTTGGAGAAGCCTGACGTCCCTTGGGCCACTGAATAGGTCAGCCTTGGCTTCAAGGAGCCGGATGGACGCCCCACCGACTCCCGCACGCACATTCTTTCGGCAGTCAACAGCGGATCGGCGGCGGGCATCTTACCGGATTGGAACCTAGGAAATTGGTGTGGCTACTGCTGCTCCAAAACGATACTCAAACCTGGGACACTTCGTCTCTCGAAACCAGTGGCGAGCCGATGACAACCAGCCGTCCTTGCCCAAGCAATATCTAACTCTGGCGGCCAGTGCCTGGTCCAAGTCACATTGGTCTTTGGCACAATCGAAGCACATGATCGGCTTCTCGTATAGCAGGTCTAGAACTTCGTGGCGCCATTCGACTCCAGTCCCCAAGTCCATCATTGCAAATTTCCGCGCAACCAACGTAACTAGCTCCTTGCAAGTACCTCGCATGTCGACCAGGAGAAGCTGTGGGCGAAAGTCAAAATCGTACCTCAATTGGCCTTCCGATACTTCACTTCCCAATGTCGGCAGTTCGTATTTCCAAAAAACGGAGTCGTGGATCGACCAGTCTTCGTTTGGATTCAAGCCTTTGTTCAGGACAGCCACCACCGAGGGCTGATTTTTGGAAGCCAAGCCATGCACGAATGCATGGCTTGCTCCGATCCAGAAGTTGACAATCGGGCCTTCGTCATTTCTCTTCCATCTGAAGCAAGGCATTGAAGCGCCTCGATCGCCTCTGCAACCAAGGAGGTCGTTGCTCTTGTGGATCACTTCGAGAGAATGGTGCTGGGGTGGACGATACTCGTCTCCACATCGTCAGCAAAAGCCTCCAAAGCCTGCTAGTTAAGTCCTCGAGGATCACCATCGTAAAAACCCGCCCACAGCATCGCTTCTTCGTGTGCATGAGCTAGTGAGGCGGGCAAGCTTTCGCTAGCGTCAAAACCTGTCAGCCACTGGAAGAGGAAATTTCTGCACTTTTGTTCGGAAGCTTCCATCTTTGTACATTCTGTGAACAGGTTCTGAAGGAGTCGCCGCACCTCACTTCAGCATTGCTCCCCCAAGTTCTTCGTCACGACTGCAGTGAGGGTGTCGAAGTTGCCGGGTGCAGAAAAAGCATCCCAGCAGTCCTGCTTGCCAGCACTTGCTCTACATTGAGTTTGTGACCTAGCTTTGAGCTGGAAACATTTATCACGAAAAAATTATGAATACATCCAGGCGACTCCGTGTTGACCGTCCTCGTCTGGAGGTATGAAAGAGTCCGTCGCAGCTCGGATCGCAACCGCAGACATGGCGAAGAAGGCGAAACACACCATGGTTTTGAACGAGAACATACCGGGGCTCTCAGCGAAGAACAGGTTTCGCAGGCCAAGTCAGTGCTGAGCCTAGAAGTTCCGGTCATAAAGGACAACCGGAAAAGCTCACCTGCTTCTCTTGTTCCTGAACAACGCTGTCCATGTGCAAACCACCTCTACAGGACGGAAAAGATGCGCGACCCCCAACACCATCAATCCCAATCCGACTATACGATACCCTTAAGGGAAGCCTTCTAATACCCTGAACCTCACTTTGCAAACCGCAGACGTCGATAGCATCGACCAACTTCTTGCAGGCGAAGAGGGAGTGGTTGGCTGCAGGCAGGCTCAGGGAGTCCTTGTCCCATGAATGAGACTGGCAAAAAGCTCCAAATCTATCTGGGTTTGGGGTTTTGGATTGTGGGCTCAAGGTCTAAGGGTTTTGTGGTTGGTTTTTGGGGCCTTCTAGGGTGTGGGTTGAGGGTTGAGGGTTGATGGTTTCGAGTGTACGACCACGTGCGATGACGGATCCGGTCCTGGACCGCCTATGCTCATGCCAGATGAGGCTCCCGAAGGCAGAGCGACAACCAGCCCCTGACTGGTAAACACGCTTCTCCAAGGACGAAGTTTGGAAGCTCCTGACTAGTCCCTAGATGCTCAACTCTAAACGGACCCTGAACAAACAGCAAACCCCAATCCACCAAGCCCCACATCGCTCAGAATTTTTTCTATAGAGGTCGGAAAACTCGTAATTCTGCTATTTCCTTCCAATCCATGTATAGCTATGCAATAACACCCGCCACCCTTTCTGTACGGCTATTCCCAATTACTCCAGCCCGGTATTGCTTTACAGCAAGCCCCAGCCGAAGTCCTCGTCCGACCGGCAGTCTGTGGCACAGGTATGGTTCCTGACCGCACCAGTATGCGCAAGATGAATGTACTAAAACCTGCTATGAATATGAAGAATAATACACTAACGCCGATAATAACAACAGCAAACAAGAAACAACAATACAAATGCTTTGCGCAACAATAAGAATTACAAGCATAAGAAGCAGACTGGGACTGGCAATGGTAACAACAGCTGTAGTAATACAAACGGCAAGCATAAGGGCTAACACTCGCAACAATCGCCATAGCCTCCGGTTCACAATGACATATTCATGCTTAAACGCTTTCGTGGTAACAGTACTAAGCATAATCATCATGATCACTGTAAGCAGAATAGCAGCATCATCAACCATACCGATAACAGTAGCTGCAAGAGTATCTATGGCAGCAATATTGCTTCAGGGACCTTTGATGCCTCGAAAACCGGGTTTTTGTGGTCCATTACAGTACGTTTATGACAAGGAACCCCTTGGGGACCCTAAACCCTCACACTATGGGAACCCTGAAGCCTAAACAATTTCACGAGGAACTGTTCAAGGGTTTAGGGTTTAGGGTTTAGGGTCTAGGGTTCAGAGTTTAGGGTTTAGGGTTCAGGGTTTAGGGTTTAGGATTTTAGGGTTTTGGGTTTAGGGTTTCAGGATGGAAGCAAGACTTCGCGCTCCTGACTGCCGCGAAGGACATGGTGCCGCAGCCCAGCTTCAGCAGCCGGAGGTCCGTGGAGTCGAGGCCTCGGCAGCTCCCCCAAAAAGGGTTTAGGGCTTTAGGGCTTTAGGGCTTTGGGTTTAGGGCTTTAGGGCTTAAGGGGTTAACTTATTATGGGGCTTAGGCGGCTTAGGGGTCCCATCGGGATCAGATTTGGGTGTTGCAAGGGTGGGTTTTGTGAGGATTCTGTCAGGGTTGCGTGGAGGTTTTTGTGTAAAGGTTCTCAAAGGGCGATATGAGGGTTTGTAGTGTTGCAAGGGCTGCATCTAGGTGCGGTTCAGGGTCAACCTAGGTTCATGTGAAAACATGAAGACCGAACAAACAATTGCTACTAATATATACGAATAGCTCATGAGAAGCCACTGAGAAGCGACGACCGTGAGGAATGCTAACACTAGCTTTTCTGCTCCTTTGAGACCATGGAAAGGAGACGCAGACAACTAGAAACCAAAACACGTACTAAGGACTCTTCGTCAAAGAGAGTAACGCCAAATAGCAAAATCCTTCGCAACCAAGTCCAACAAAAGCTACGGGAAGCCCGCCTTTAGATGCTTTCAGGTCGTGGACGCACATGTCCACCATTGTGGCCCGGAGCTCCCACTTGACGGCCTTCACCTTTACAACAGTTGGGGGGGCCTAAGGCCTGGAGGGTCCCGTGAGGGACTCTATAAGAACTCTACATCAAGGGCTCTATGGGGATTTCTACGGCGCTTTAAGGGTCCGTGTTGGATATATAAGAACTCTACACTAAGGGCTCAATGGGAGGGTTTTACGGCACTTTAAGGGTCCTACTCCAGTTTTCCTACGGCCCCCGATTCTGCCCCGTCCGGTCCGGCCTGCTGCTTCGTGAGCCCGGCCTTGGATCTCAGGAGATGCTTCCACAGGAGCCTGGGCCGAAGAGACTCAGGGTTTAGGGTTTAGGGTGTAGGGTTTAGAGGTTTAAGGGTTTAGGGCTTAGGGTTAGGATTCAGGTTTTAGGGTTCAGGGCTCAGGGTTCAGGGTTTGGGGTTAAGGGTTTTGGGCTTGGGGTTCAGAGGTCTCAAAGAGCACGTGTAGAGGGTTCCTTTAAAGGTTCTATAAGGGTTAAGCTTTTCTTCGCAGGTTTAGGGCCCTTGCAGAATCTTGTACAGTTTTTGATTCTAATTAAGGGTTCTACGGGGGTTAAGGGCTTGCTTTACGGGTGGTGGGGGTTTAAGGATTGGGGGGTTTCAGGGGTTTCAGGGTAAAGGGGCTGCAAGGGGTTTAGAAGCTTAAGCTCCAGGCGATTGCTACCGAAGAACCTTCTTAGAAGCCTAGCAGAGCACCCAATGGAAACCCCCCTAAGACTCCTACCAAAACCCTTATGAACCCGGGTAAGAGCCTGCAACTCAATGCAAGTCCTTGTGGTAAGAGCCCTCCAGAACCCCAAAACCCTCAAACCCCAAACTCCAAAACCCTCAAGCCTTCAAACCCCAAACCCCCTCAATCCCTTAAACCCCAAAACCCTCAAACCCTCAAACCTTCAAACCCCAAACCCCCTCAAACCCCCAAAACCAAGGGCTCCCCTCTCCCCTCGCAGCCCGGGCGCGTGAGGCCGCGCCAGGGGCCGAAGGCCCTGGGTCGGGAGTGGAAGTCGGAGTCCGGGATGCTGAGGCCCTCGAGCATCTTCGCTCCCTCCTGGGCGTTGTACAGGTTTAGGGTTTAGGGTTTAGGGAGTTTTGTAGGGCTTTGGTAGTGGGAGGGAGGTCGAGATTCAGCAACTTAGGGGATCAGGGGTGTTGAGCGGTTTAGGAGTTTGGGTTTAGTCGTCGAGATTGTGCACAATGCAGGGTTCGGCATGTGGCGCGTTACGCCTTTGTTCGTCCGGCTTTGGCATGGGTGTGCCTTTGTTCGTCCGGCTTTGGCATGGGTGTATGCAGGGTTCTGGTTCTGGTGGGGTTGGGCAGGACAGCAAATGGGAGAGCCGAGGCGGTAATGTCAACCCATAAAGTACAGGAACCTGAAAATAAGGACACCGAAAAAAGGTACCTAATTTTCTAAAAAACCCATGTAGCGGTGGGTTCCTTAAAAACCGAGGATCTCGTCTTCAAAGGATATAGAAGGGTTGTATCTAGGGTGTTACAGAATCTATCTGAGGGTTATTTTGAAATTCAGGGGGTGCCAGAGGGATCCTTGCCCTGAAGACCTACTACTTCGGGATCGCCCGACTCAAGGGGTCAGGGTGTTCTCAAGGGCTTCGTGGGCTACTGCGAGGGTGCTACGGGCGCTTCGAGCTTGTAGGGTTTCGAAACCCAGGCCATCACCACCGGAGCCCCCAGGCCTAAACCCAAAATCGTAATCCTTGGCTCCTAAAGTCGTAAGACCTAAACCCTAAACCCTAAACCCTAAACCCCGTCCTTGGGATACAGCGCATCCACGACGGCCGGCGCCTTGATGAGGTAAGGCAGGAAGACGTCGTAGAGAAGATCTTCGGGCTCCCTCTCGCTGGAGATCAGACACGCAGTGACCTCGGCATTACGAAAAGAAGCACCTGTTGGTGTTATGAGAAGCATAAGAAGGAACATGAAACAGATCCATACGCACAGTAGCAACGGCAGTACGGCGACTCATAAGACCAAGAATGTCAGAGCTTGCCTTCTCAATGATGGTACCTGAACCATCACCCTACCTGTAAACACGCTACGGAGCCCTACAGCTCTTCTAAGCTTCGAATAAGGCCTAGTCGCAACGACCACCGTTCCGCAAACAGAGTGGTGATTGTGTCAACTTTCAGAAAGACAAAAGCAACAAGCGGCACAGAGTGTGATGACTATGTCAACTCACAGTGGCGACAACAAAAATATAGAAAAAAACGCGGACGATCCCAAATACCCGCGTGCGCGTGGGCCTAAATTTTCAGAAGTCCTCATCTAAAAAGCTTAAAAGACATACACCAAAAAACCACCCTTATGACTGAACAGTATGTCAGTTTGTAACACTGTTTTTGTGTGTGATGCACACACAAAACCTCAGAAATCCCCCATTTAAAGAAAAATACACACAGAGAGAAGCGTGCGCCAGGCGGCCATGGTGGTCCAGAAGGCCTCGTCTTCCGCGCGCTCGGCGGGGATGCCGTCGAAGGTCATGCCTTTGGGCTCCACGGTTTCGGCTCTTGGGCTTTTGGGGCTTAGGCCTCTAGGGTTCGGGGATCTCTCCTTGGCGGGCCACTGAAGTTCGTCTGCCAAACAAGCAGGGGGTGTAGGGGTCTTAGAGTTAGGGCTTCTTCGGAATGTTGTGGCTTTCCTTTCCAGGGTTCAATGGTTTAGAGTTTGAGGGTTTTGGGTTTAGGGGGTGGTTCAATGCTTTAGTTTGAGGTTGGAGGATTTAGTTCTCGGGCTGCGGCTTTCACCTGGAGTGTTCACTTTGGGCCCTCCGTGTTCGACTACTGCATCGGTGATTGGACGACAATCCTCATGTGGCTGCCCTTACTAAACCCCCAAACTCCAAACCCGCTTGAACCCCAAACCGATCAGTATGTAGTGGTGTCCTTGCTGCTCGTGTTTCTGGTATTGCCCCTACCACTACGACTATCACTTGTCACTAGTATCACATTATTACGAATGTTGCCATTGCCTTTCTTCAGGATCTTACTGTTCTATGATGCAGACTGACTGCGGCTGCTTTCTTTCTTATTGTCACTCGCATCGTCATCCTTATCGTCATCGCCGTGGTCATGATAATATAGCCTCAGACTCTAAATTACGCAAATGTAAGACAGAACAACCGCCAATACTCAAAGTTTGACAGCCTGCCATCAGTGCAATCTCCGTCTATGAAACCCCACGGTTGCCATTCTTCCCAGCAGGCTACGGAAAAAAAAACACACACACACATCAGGAGCATGTTAATATGAGCCCTAAGCCCGAAAGCGCGAACGAAACCCCTAAATACTAAACCCTAACAAGGAAAGCACCCAACTGCCAACAAAACAACTACTCTTCAACCCCAAGCTTCTGAACACCAAGGCCCAAACCCTACAAAACTGAGCCCACCCCACCACAAAAAAAGCTGAGCACCCAAAAAAAACAAGGCCCTCCAACTGACAGCAGGAGGCAAGTCTGATGCTTGAGCTTCGGGGGGCTCCGCGCCGACTGCCTCGGGGCTTCTGCTGTCTTTCCAGTAGGTTTGAGGTCAAGGCGTTAGTTCGGCCTTCAGGGTAAACCCTAAGCCCCAAACCCCAAACCCTAAACCCCAAACCCTGAACCCTAAACCCTAAACGTTTGCATAGGGATTCAAAGGCTTAGGGCCCTTCGGACTCGAAAGCCCATCTGGCCTGTGGTAGAGGACCCCTGGCCCACCGTTGCAGATGGTGAGGCGGTAGTTGGGGCCCTCCTCGTGAGCTGCGATTTAAGGGCTAGGTCTTAGGGGTTTTAGGGTTCAGGGCTCAGGGATTGAGGATCTAAGGTTGAGGGACATGGGGTTTAAGGATTCAGGGGCTTATAGGCTTTCGGGTTCAGGGAATCGGGAAATCAGTCCTAGGGTTGTAGGGCTTTCTGCAGGACGGCCGGTCCCCAAAATGTTGTTTGTGACCCCTTCCCGTTTATAGAGGCATGCAGAAGGGGGGCTGAAAGGCGGCTTTTACTTATGATGCGGAATCTCGTCCGTTTTTTTCCAGATCTTCGAATCGGAGCCGGTCCTTGCCCTCTGTCTTCTCGAGCATCAGGGGCACCACAGTGCTACCCACCGCGAGTGGAATGATGCATGCCTCGGTCAGCAACAGGCCTCCGATGCTTGCCATCATAATACGACTGTGATGGGAAAACGTTTATCCTACCAGCACGACATGAATGGCCACAAGAGAGAAGGAATGATGCCTACTCGTAGTTAATGATTCCCGAAGGTCCGAAACTCTAGCATAGAGCCTGAGACTCAGAAACCCTCACAGCTTTGTTCCCGTCTCCCTGAAAGCTCTGAGCCCTAGAACAGGATAATCTGAACGATAAACCCTGAGCTCCCCTCTAAGACTCTGCCCCCACGGCCCGAACACCAAAGCTTCAAGCCTTAGACTCTATACGTGTAGTTCTCTAAATTAGGGTGCCTTTTTAGGTCTCCAATATAGTATGGCACCCTTATAAAACGATAAAGACCGGACCCCCGGCAAAGAATAGGTCAAGGTGCATCTCCGATGTTGCTCATGCGGGCTCGTAGCTGCTTAACGGCCTTCAGGAAGAAGACAATCACCTGCGACTGAGGGCTTTGGGTTGAGGGTGTTGGGATTCAGGGTTTGGGTTTCTGATATGGCATATGAATGAAAAACCTTGAGACCCGCCCTTTCAGCCCCAGCCCTCAAACCAAGCCCCTAAACCCAAGATAAACCTTAAGCCCGAGCCCCGAACAAAGTCCTATACCACCGTACAGGATAACTAGACTGACTATACTCCCGAACTCGAAATCAAAACCCAAAACCCCCAACCCTCGAAAATCCAAAACAACCAGAAAGCCCAAAGCCCAGACATATATAGGAAGAATCAGGGTCCTCGGACCAAAAGAGAGTTCGAGTGGAAACTTGCCTGGGGTTCGGGAGACTCCAGGGCGTTGCTGAGTCGCCGGAAGAGGGGCTCCGCGGCCTCCCGCAAGGCTTTCGGAGCTGTCGGGTTCAGACGTTTAGGCGTTTAGGGCTGCGGGCCTAAAAGAGCTTCGGACGTGGGACTCAGGGTTCAGGGTTTCAGGATGTTATAGGGTTTAGGGTTTGGGGGTATAGGGGTCTAGAGGTTTAGGAAAGTTTAGGGTTTTTTGGGGGGGCAGGGGTCTCTGAGGTTCGCCTTAGGAGGGGTTTGGGCCTTGGCTCTTGGCATCTTTGCCGTTTGGGGGCCGAAGATGCCAAGACCTTCTTCCGGTGAGAGCAGCGGTAGTTAGGGTTTAGGGTTGAGGGTTGTAAAGATGCCAATGGTAAGACGGCTGAAGAGGACAGCAGCAACATTTTTCGCAATAAAATCATGGCAACATGAACCATAAAACGACCCCCAAGTGCCATCAGAATTAAAACTCACGCGGGTCATGCAACTGTTCATGCCAGAAAGAAGCCTTTTTGGCAGAGGCTCGTCATATGCGTTTCTGTGATATGGTGTTGGGTTCAGTCTTGGCGGCTTCAGGGTCGTGGCAAAGCAGTTGAGGACCCGACGGAAGGGCCCCTCCCCCTTTTTTCACGCTGGGAGTCTCAGCTGGTGGCACAGTGCAGACAGCGCTTCGCTGCAGCGCATATGCATGCGGAGGTCGGGAGAAACCAGGGGATCGGCGCGGGTCTCCCCAATGTTGACCAAGGCCACCGGCTTTTTGGCCTCCGCCGCGAGCCGGATCAAAGAGAAGGCGCTGAAGACCTTTGCAGAGGTTCCCATCACCAAGAGAGCCTCCGCTCCGCGCAGCGCCTCCTGGGCCTCGAGCTTCACCGAGGACTCCAGGGATCCGCCAAAGAAGACCACCCGCGGCTTCCAGACCCCCCCACAGGCTTTGCAGGGAGGCACCACGAAACCGTCGAAGCTGCGGACGTCCAGGTGGGCATCGCCGTCGGCGCGGATGTCCATGACCTCCTGTGGGGGGAGGAAGGCTTCCATCCACGCGGCGTTCACTTCCTCAAGCTCCAGCTGGTAGCCGGCCCGAGGACGAGTGCGAGAGCAGGTCAGGCACATCACCTTGCACGGCTTGGTGATTTAGGGTTCATTGGGGCAAGCAGGGCAAGCACACAGCACCAAAGAAAAAACAAAACCAGGCCTTCGTTTGCCGATGCCAAAACAGTAAAACAAGACCTAGCTAACCCTACAAGCCCATGCGCCTGGTCATTGCGCCCGTGGAGGTCGATCACGTTCCGAGACCCAGCCCTCTGATGTAAACCGTCGACATTCTGAGTGATCACCGCCTGCACGTACCTTCAGGGGTTTAGGACGGTGTCCAGTATCCCCAAGATCCTGCAATCACAAACCCCGATTCCTGTCTACATTACATGATAACCCTAAACCCTAAACCCTAAACTGATTATAATATGACTATAAGAATTGGGAGGGTCAGAGAACCTCCAAGCGCAAGCCCACAAGGCCGAAACCCTACATCCAAAACCGAAATCTCTGGGGTGAGGATTTAAGGTTTTGGGTTTAGGGTTTAGGGTCTTGAGTTTAGGGTTTAGGGTTATGGTTTTTGGGGGACATCCGAAACAAAATCCCCGGACTCTTCGTCCAAACTCCTGAGAAACCGAGGGACCCCGAAGCAAAAACCTATCCGCCAAGACCCCAAAGGCTCAAACTCCAACAAACCAACACCCTTTTCGCACGGTTTAGGGTTTAGTAATTTAGGGTTTAGGGTTTTGGGAACCCAAAACAGAAAACGACAACATGGGGCGGCTCGAGGTACCCGGCGTCTTCCAACACCCCCAGCGCTCGGTGCGCCGAGTTCGGCGCCGCGCCATCGAAGTAGCGCCAGCCCCTGAAAAAGCGTTTCGCATTTGGTGCTCACGACTTAGGTTTCACAGGGTGTAGGGCCATTGTAGGGCTAGCTCTGGGCCCTAAGTGTTCTGTAGCTTAGGTCTGGGAGTTTGGCCTGGCTTTGTTCGGTTCGGCGGGCGCCTAAGGCTTTGGGGCGGCGGGAGCGTTTCGGGGAACCCGGGGAGGTCCTCAGAGAGCGGGCCCAGTAGCGCCGGCGGTTCAGGCAGCTGGACACGAACTCCTGGGGACGGAAGTAGATGGCCCCCTTTTAAGAGACCTCGAGACCTACCCTACCACCCTCAAGAACTCTAGGAAGCTAAGAAACGTAGGAACCCCATTTAGCCCCTAACTGAGAACCCTATAAGGAATGCCAGGAGCTCCCGAAAAATCTCCCCCAAAGCCCCGGCAGCTCCTGGTGGGTCATGGGCTTGTGGCCCTTGGAGTAGGAGCCCCCAGGGCTCCGGTAGTCCGGGATCCCGGACTCCGTGGAAAATCCGGCGCCCGTGAGGCAGACCAGCCTCCGGGGCTGAGGGCTTAGGTTACCCTAAACTCCCTAAACCCTAAATCCCATAAGGCTCCGTTACCCTGAACCCTAAACCCCTTATAAGGCTCAGCTACCCTAAACCCTAAACCCTAAGCCCTAGGCTCAGTTAAGACATCAGGGTTCGGAGTGCAGGGCTCAGGGTTAAAGGGTTTGCGGGTTTAGGAGCTTGCTTTGGGGCTTTCGACTTTTGCGGGGGTTAGGGATTGTTCCTATCCCCCTCAAGTACCTAAAGCACATAAAAGGTAAGGGAACCACCGGTAACAACAAAAACCATGCAACCCGTATAAAGCCCTGATAAACCCCCAAAAACGAGCCTTGAACACCAAAAACCGGCCCTTCTGATAAGGACCCCACAAAACACTGGACAGGAGCCCAGGATAATACTCAGACAAGAACACTCAGACAACCCCACCTTAAACCCTATTGCAAGAAACCCCTAAAGTCGAATCGGAATCCTCCTTGCACGAGCCGCCGAGTCGCGATCCGCGCGACCTCTCCGCAAACTGGGCCAGGCGCTCGGCTGTTTGGGTGCCGACCTGGTTTTGGGGGCTTTCAGTTAGGGCTTCAGCGGTCCAGGATCGGAGATTAGGGCTGGTAGGGTTTGGGGTTTAGGGTTAGTAGGGCTTAGGGCTTGGGGCTTTAAGCTTTGGAAAGGGCTTGCTGGAGCTCTGTCTCATGAAGGTCCTCCTCGAGTTCCGTGGTTGTTTTCTAGATTCTGGAGGGTTCAAGGTTTCAGAGTTTAGGGTGTAGGGTTTAGGGAGGCTGGACTGCAAGATTCACTGACCACTTGCAAGCACAGGAAGAGTTAAAGTAACTCCACGGTTGTAGCTAGCAAAAATACCAGTACCACGTCCAACTACACATGAGCCTTGAAGCATGGCTGATGGAGGAGCGGTTCCCTAGGAGAAGATCCAAAGAGTGTGAAGTAACAGTCTTGCCGAAACGCTGCTGCTAGGGTTGCAGAACTTGGGGGATGTAGATGGATTTAGTGGAACCCAAGCGCTCGATCCAAAGATCTGGATTCAGGGTGGAGCATGGTGGACCCAACTTCTGCGCGCTGAAACCAAAGCAGCGGAGCCACTGGCATCCCCGTGGGGGCAAAGCACGGCCGCGGCCGGGTCGTTTCGGCCGCTGTCACTGCCCGTCGCACCATGGCCGGCCGCATGATTTCGGGCTTCGGGTCAGGGTCACAGACCTTCGGGCCGGTCCTTCGGTTTGCCGGTTCGCGGTCTTGGGATTCTGGGTCAAGGCTTCACAGCTCAGGGGTTGGGAGTTGAGAGTTTGGAGTTCGGGACTTCTTTACCTTCCAAACGGCTGAAATTCAACGCTTCGTCGTGATGTAGTGGCTGCGAAGACCTGAAGCGGCTCTAGCGCGGGCCATGCTGGGACACGATTCTGCTGAAGTCTAGTGACTCTAGTGACTCAGTGTGCTCCCTAGGTAGTTTGCTGGATAAAGCTCTGCTGTCTTCTTCTCTGTACGACTGCCTTCTATCGCATTCTGCTCTGGTCCAACCGACTTTACTTTCGTCTACATTCTGTTTCAGCGTACTCCAGGCAACCAGGAATCCCTAAAACCGGAAACTACAAACCACTCCGAACGCTCTGCAGCCCCTCCTGAACTCGGGCCCGGAGCATCCCACGATCCCAAGTAGCTCATAGGACTTGATGATATAAATCCTTAGCATTACCGTATAAGGACCTAAACTATGGGAATATTCCTTAGTATGGGTACTGCAGGATTTATATCATGAACCGTAGGACGTAGGGTTAGGGTTCCCTACGCTGCTCCAGAGCTCGCCTTGATCAAGCCGATGGTATTTGCGGCAGCCTGGAGGGATTTCCCGGCTTCGTGGGCTTTCTGAAGAAGCCAACGACAACAATACTGATAATCAGCATTATCATAAATAATTAAAAACATACGTAATACCATCTTCCTGCTTGCAGCTTTCTTTTGAGTTGGCGAGGTAAGGGATTGCAAAGACGGGCTGGGATGAGACGAGGAGTGTCACGTGCGAAAGAAACGAAGAGTGTTTCCATGGTGTGCTGGTATTAAACCTTGAGACAAACCTAACATCCATCGTTCCATGCGATCCATGCACATCATCATGTTTTGTTTTGAGGCTCAGGGTTCAGAGAGTATGCGGTACACCACAGCAACAACCCTAAACCCCATACCCTGAACC